TTGCATTTCATTCTCGTTCCTGGGTTGCTACTGGCAAGTAATATCACGTTTGGTGGATTTAGGCGTCAATTCTAAGTCCAGTTATGTCTCTGGTAACGAATAAGAAGTACAAACTGTCCACCAGTGAAAAATTTGACGAATACATGAAGGCCCTTGGTGAGTAGCAAAATAAATTTTTCTTTAAAATTGTAGTTTTTTTGTTGTTGTCTTTTATGGTTTAATATTGTAGCGTTTGATTGCACTTGTATTCGGTTTTGAAGTTGTGTAAAGTATTATTGTATTGTTATTACATACTCATACATCTGTGCAAAAATATATGTGGTACCTAATTTAGTTAACAAGATATTTGTAAGAATGTTACAGCAGTGATACTTTCCAACACAGCATAATCATGTCACATGCATGTTTTATACTTGTTTTTCAAGTGTCTACGTTCTGATACACGGAGTTAAATGGGACAAAAATACAAATATTTATAATTAAAAACAGTCCACTCTAGAAAACGACAGTGAACTTTTAAATTTAGAAATAATATATATATATATATATATATAGCTTATACTATGTTGTATTTTTTGTCATATGATAATTTTGATCGGAGTGTTATCTTAAAGGTGCTCTCCCCCCAAGCGCCTACATGGCGTATAGTGGGACAGCTTTACTTTTACTGTTTACTTTATTCTTCTCCTTTCATTCTTTGTCTCACCATGAGTTAATGGGAGAGGGGGCAGAAAGAGCTAAGAAGTCAGAATTATGGATGCAGCTGACTCCTGTTTATTCAGTATAGAGATCCGCAGAGAGAATTAATATCGCCATTGATGACCTGCTTCTGCGATTATTTATATTATTTTAACAATGTATTGTGTCATCTTGAGTTGCATTTGTTACCGTTTTCGTAACTTAATTTTCATATAATCTAAACATGAATCTTACAGGTTTCTACAGAATACGATCGATTTAATTAACAACATATTTAGACATAATTCTTCTTCTAAATATTGGCTGCTGGCATTTTCATAACATTTCTATCTCCCACAGAATAAATAAAATTTTCTATGAACTTCGGTCTTCTAATGTTGATACTTTGTGAAGACAGAATCATAATACATTTTAAGGAGGACAGTGGACAAATATTTTCGTGTTTGCGAGGGTCAAAGTGCAGCAGGGGCGTACTTTGAGATAACGAGGAAGCATAACTTGAACCTTGACACGCGGTATGGCAGCACGTTTTAATTGCATCTGTAGTCGTTAGTGTGCTTATTGCACTACAGCGCACTAGAATGAGTCCTTGTTTGTTTAAGGGCACTTTTTCAATTGCATCACACGACATGCAGTGCCCAATATTGGGATGAATTTTAAATGGGAAGTTATGTTGAAGGAAGCCATACTGGTCTGTTTTGTAATCCCGCCTAGTTACGAAAACGCTGAACATCAGGATGTACACATAAGTAATCTGGGGAATTATGTACGTAAGAAGTGGTCATTTACTTATTAAGGCAGGAAAATGAATCATAATTAATACAGATTTCCCACGAAAATATTTGTAACTGAGAAGGATGAAGTTTTCAGTCTTGTTTATTAATATTTTTTATACTATTTGTATGAAGAAGTTGAAATTATAAAAGGACCGTCTTCCTAAGGTTTTCTAAATCTCGATGCCGCAAGAACTTGAAATCTCACAATGCAAATTACAAGAGAACATTCACAAATTGAAAATCCAGAAGCAACAGCAGAGGGACATGCTACAATTTTTACGCAATGCGTACATTTCCTTAAATCTTATATATGGGGAATATCTTACGAAATAAGAGGAAATTATCAATACTGTTTGAGGAAATTCTTGAGAATCATACCAAACCGATAGTACAAAATTCTGAGGTACTGAAGGTTCGTTTCGGTGGTACGTATATTTACCAGTGACATCGAAAGGTTTAAATATGAAAAATATAAAAGCATCTTGGAGGGGTGGGGGAATTCATATTTTTGACTCTTCTTTGCCCTTGTGTAACAGACGCAGGGCGTTGACACGTGTTGTATGTTGCTGCAATATTAACTTTTAAGTAATATATTTGTTAACTGTCTTTCAATACAGGTGATGCAAACATGTCGTCCATATGTAATATCCGCGAAGCGATATTAAAAGTCTAGAACCACTCTGTTCTTAGTGACATCCGGCTTTGCAAGGCCGCCGAGACAAATTATCTTAGGATGGCTTGCTCTCAGAAGTTCTCATTAATAAGAAGCTGCATGTTATTGCAGAAAATTCTCGCGGTGCATTAAGACAGTGTTATCCAACCTTTTTTGTTCGCGTATCCCCAGATATAATTTCTCTTCAACTTTGTACCCCCAAAGTTGTTGGTGTATAATTCAAGTTGTACATAGTATATAATCTACATCTAAAATAAATTAAATAAATTACATTACTCATTATTCAGTGTTTATCATAAAATAATATATATTTTTTTTAAATTTCACCTACCACCTAAGATGTCTTCGCGTACCCCCGGGGTTGCGCGTACCCCAGGTTGAAACCACTGCATTAAGACATTTAGCAAGCTTATTCAAACTGTTCAGTCGTGCCAGGAGCTGTTAGCTGAGCCAGTGAAAGTGTTTATCACCTTAGGAACAATATCTGAATGTTTAACTACGTGGTACATTTGTCAGATCGGTGTGATAGTTCTTATTTAATGACGCTTTTGACAAAAGAAAAAGTTTTGCTTGTGGCAGGGTAATTGACCCCTGTAAAGGTCGACGTACGTACAGAGTCAAGACTGTCATAATTATTTCAAACAGTTGTTAAATTTAGACTGGTACAACCACAAATAGAATTAGGAGCGTTCATTACAATAAACTGCATACTCATACAACTTTTCATAACCAGCATGGATACAAAAGTTCGGTGTCTTACCAAAACCGGAGAACTGAACCCTCTTCTTCGGTGTAGTTCTGAATCGCTTTCGCCTACACATAGGCCGATTATCATTTCGGTCGCCTTTTCATAACCACGTTTTATAGGCTGTGACCGATCATCGCTGCAGACTGATTAACACTCCTGCTTTAGGGATGCCTCGGATTCACATCTCTGCGCAGAGACCGGTTATCCTTGCTGAGGACTTCTGTGGTTTGCCTCAGTCACTGTACACAATTATGTTTATTAATATTGGAGGGCAAATACGCTCTTGGGAAAAAAAATAAATTGGTTTTCTGATAATTTCAAGTCGTGGTTTTTCTAATATCCGGATGTTGAGTGTGGGAAACATGGTTTCGTACCTTTGTGGCAGTTGCTGGAATTCGGTAGGTAGCCTAATTGATTTGGGGTGGGGTTCACTATGGTCTGTTTGAGAAGTGGGCTGTATAAGGGTTTCGAACGAACTAGCAGGTCACGCAGGTGGCGTGATGTCTGCAAAGAGGCTGGGGACCGGTGGACAGCTCCCTCCACATAGTTCAGAGGGGATCAATACAGTTTATATAATAGCGTTTACGAAAACATTAGACTCATTTGTCTCCACACATAAGCAAGATTGTTTTCCAGGATCCATTATAAGGCCTTGTTGACAGGTCAGAGTGCATTCCATTATGGATTTCAGAGACAGAGTTCAGGTCCTTAATATTTTTACAAACCATTCAGGAAATACATTCAATTCTTCGAATAATACTCTGGAAGGCTATAGTTTAGGGCGGAAATCTATGATTCAATTGTATTCTCCGAATATTTTAATTAAATTCCCTGCCGGTCTGGCTCCACAGAACGTCCCAGCCTAGTGGTTAGCATTCATGCTCCTGCCCTGTTTTAAATTCTTCGGCCTGGAGACTGGCTATACTGAATAAGGGGTTTCGTGATTCTTCTCAGTGCCTTCAGGCAAATGCCTGTGGAGTACCACACCTGTTTACAAATCAGATGAGATGTGATGGGTGCACTGTTTATTTTCTATGTTTATCACATGAGATAAGGTGCGTGCTGTAGGAGTGAGTAGATTCCGTGTTACAGGAGGTTATTGACGTACTCCAGTGAGTGCATGTGTATTTTGCAAATGCATTGTTTGCCCTTGCTAATTTATTATGGATACAAATTCATTATTGTAGATATTAACCCACTGTTTAAATACTAAGAACATTACACATATCTTGCTCCATATTTATGAATTATTTTCTTTGCATCTTTAAGTATTCATCAAAATGAAACGTGTTTAATTATTTAACTACAAAGCAAAATTGACACGTGCCTAAATAATAGAGCTCTTGGGTAGTGGTCAGAGAGTCAGAGTGATTGTTATATTTTCATGACTGCCTTTCAGGTGTGGGGCTTGTTGTCCGCAAGGTAGGAAACTCTGTGAGTCCTGTAATTGAGCTGACACAGAATGGCGACGAATACACAATCACATCACAATCCACATTCAAGAACACTACAACCACTTTCAAGCTGGGACAAGAATTTGAAGAGGAGACAGCAGATGGCCGTAAAGTGAAGTCCGTCGTTACCCAGGATGGTAACAAACTGATCCAAGTGCAAAAGGGAGAGAAGGAAACCACCATTATTAGAGAATTCAATGATGATGAAGTGAAAATGGTAAGTTCAATGGGATGTGCTTGAATGGCAGGCATTGGTATTAGCAGTGTAAAACCTTTGGTTTCTACTACAATCAGACATTAAACTGCGTCTTTATCTCTGATGCACTCTAAGTAACTTTATCTCAACTATGACTGAGAATTTGATCTTCCAACTCAATGAACTGTTAATTATAAAAATATGTCTGGTTCTGTGATAATCGTATTTTTTTAGTACTTATTCCTATATGCAGTGCGACTTGCATAAGAAATTCTCACGTCATGTCTGTATTATTCTTTGGCTTTATGTTGGTAACAGCGTTTTTGGGAGAGCAGTGAAGATGTGTCCAGGAAAACGTAGTGTGATAAATGACTTTACATGTAGGAAGATGTATCTTTTAAGAGAATAGTAAATTGTACTAATGTTGGGTTTATAAAATATGTGCACAAAATTATATGTAAATGGGAGAATAAAATAAGTAGAATGTAATCAGCAGTGAATGGGAGCAGAATTATATTTGTAAGAAGTGGCATTGTTTAGTAGGAGAAATTTATGTACAAGAGCCATGAACCACAAAAACTTTGCGTAAGCAGACATAGCCTCATGTTTAAGAGAACTCGAACTAATAATCGCTTTGAAAGTGTTAGGACTTCAACTGAATGGTCAACAGTTTAATGCTATGCTAATGCAACACATGATCAGCTAGATCACACACAAATAACAAGGCACAGATGATAAATATTAACATAAAATATATATGCTTTTTTTTCAGACCCTGACTGTAGATGACATTGTGTCCACAAGAATCTACAAGGCTATATAAGACTAAAGTGGGGAGAAAACAGATGCTGAAGTCATCCATTACAAGTCTCAAAGAATGCCAAGTTTTTATCTCGCTTTGTAAGATGGAAGTACCTTATCTCCTATTATATAAGACTGGACGACTTATTTGTATAAATTATAGTTTGTGTGATTAGCGGTTTCCTAACGAGTTATGATTGTTCGTATTCTCACTTTACATATGGCTTCTTAATTTTTTATAACTAATTTGTAATTTTTCATATTGTAGTATTGATCAAAGTGCAACTGCATAACCTTTCAAGATTAATTTTGTTTGTTAAATTTTGTACGTTGTTTTTTCATGTGGAAGGATCAATGGTGTTCAAATTTTCTTCTAATGCTGATGCAGGGTGTGAAGTTTTTGTAATGTTGGTCTTGATGGTAAAATGTATAAATATGCAATAATCACGCTGACAAAAACATTTTACATTGAAATTGAAAGCAGTCTAGCTGCTATTAAAAAAATGTATTTTTATATTTATTTGGATGCTGATATTTCAAAGAGAAAAAGTAGTTCACATTATTATTATGTGATGTTAGTATTCTGATTCCACAATTTTTTGAAGCGTGAATGATATCATTCATTATTTTCAATTTCTTTGTTTATTAAATAAAAATATTAATTTTATGTAGTACTTGGTTCTTGTGCTTAACCACAGTTCTTTCCTTCATGTTCCATATTGTTTGATTACCATTCTTATCCTCTGAAATGGTGAATTTAGGGAATTTGTAATGTGTAATTTTTGCAAATGAATTTTATAAACTCTAATTTATCACCCTGATGATGGAGGCAGTAATTATTTTGAAACATCAGTCATTATCTAACAGACTACACCACATAACATCAAGGAGATGGCTATCTTCATGCTCATCATTGTATGAACCTGAAATACCTTCATGTTACATCCCGTTGCAATCAGTTGAGAAACTGATGTCTGCTGATTGGGCAGAAAAATTCTTACGTGTGACACATGACATTCTAGAAATGTGAATGTTATTACCTTTAAATTTGACAGTTCAAATTGTTAATTTCAATAAATGAGGGGCTGATATGTGAGAGGTAGCAGGTATAGTAATTATGTTCATTATAATGCAAAGCATCTTGTATTTTAATGTGTACATTTAACTGAGTATGATCTTTTTATTTTACTATAAAAATTTGTGATTCCTCGTTGTCGTCAACCAATTTGTCGTCAAAAAATGATGTCATCAACAATGTAAACAGATATTTGTTTACACGGCATTGTTGTGGAACACAACAATGCCGAGTAAACAAATATAACGTTTCACAACAAAGAAATCAAAAAATATCAAACCAGTCGCATTATCACTGCTCCAGAAGGAGCACTTAGCATTCTTGAATATTGACTGACAGTTGGCCTAAAACATCAGAAAAGTGAAAGAAGACGTTATCAAGTATATGAAGTACCAACTCCAACAACTTCAACAAGGTAAACTGATACTCATTCGATATATTACGATTACGAAAACT